CGCGGAGCGGCTGGGCCCGTGAGCCGTGGCCGCTGAGCCTGCGCGTCCGGAGCTTGTGCTCCGCAGCGGGAGAGGCCACAACAGTGAGAGGCCCGCGTACCGCAAAAAAAAAAAATAATAAAAAAATAAAATTAAAAACTATACCCATTATAAACTGGTGTGGCCTCAGGTTTTCTTCTCAGTGAGAGGAAAGGAGCCTGAGAGGGGTTGCTTAGGGCTCTTTTATCTCCCAAATCCTGTGGTCTCCAAAGCTGCAGGGCAAAGTGATGTCTGTGTATGAAGCTGGCCTTTGAGCAAGATAAAATATTTTCTCCAAAGTCACACTAAATAGGCTAGATCTTATTGAAAAGCTTGCTTATTGTACACCTTCAGTCTCCTGAAACCCAGCCTGTGTAAAGTGACAGAAGGAATGGGTATTAGCAGTTCCATTAGTTTGTCCAATACTCACACTGTTAGGGCATTTTATAGATTCAAATCCTTCGTTTCAAAAAGGATAACTAGGGCTTCCCTGGTGGCGCAGTGGTTGAGAGTCCGCCTGCTGATGCAGGGGACACGGGTTCGTGCCCCGGTCCGGGAAGATCCCACATGCCGCGGAGCGGCTGGGCCCGTGAGCCATGGACACTGAGCCTGCGCGTCCGGAGCCAAAAAAAAAAAAAAAAAAGGATAACTAACTTGTCCAGGAAGGTCATGTTGTTGGAAGTAACAGTAGAATTCAAACCCAGATTTGTCTTGCTCCTGACTCCCACCTACAACCTCCCCGCACCCTCCAAAAAAGAAAGAGGAAAGGGAAAAAAAAGGAAAAGAAAAACAAATCAGAAGCATATTTCTGTACCTTATAATGTAGTTTTCAGAATCAGTTTGAAAGGAGAAATGTGATTTTTAAGATAATTAGAATCCAGCTTGTATAGCAGTAAGAGTTTTCCTGTCTCTGCCAAAAAAGAGCAGAAAGAAAAGCAGAGCATTCAGTTATTTTTCAGGTAATTTCATTTTTTTTTTGAAATGATAATGTATTTCAGATTTCATAGATTTCTCTCCTGGCAACAAGTATGGTAGTTGCTTGTGTCTCAGAATATCTTTTTCAATAGAAAAAGTAAAAATGTCATAGAAGGCCCAGGCGCCTAGACAAGCCCACACAAGCCCCTCTAGCTAACAGTATTGCAGACCTGTATTGCTGTAGAATGACCAGCTTGCTGCAGTGGATGTGTTCCAGCCCCAATTCCGTGTTAGGAACATATCCCCTCTGGAGCTGGCCTGAGGAGCAGGGAGAACCTTCTCCGGACCCCCAGCCTCTGCCACTGCTGAAGGTTCCCCAGGGCTGGTCGGAGGCGAGGATCCCGTGAGGGCTTTCCGGTGGGTGGGGGGCCTGCAGGAGTGCAGTGGAGGGACCTCTGCCCCTGGCACAGCTCGCTAGCTCAAGCCCTGCCCCCTGAGAGCCACGCTTGCCTCAGCCGCGAGGGACTCCGGGGTGTTTGGAAGAAAACCTCTGTGTCGTTTCCTCCTTTCCATGTGTAAGTGATGATTGTGTGTGTCACCTTCCCTGTCTAGCTATGATTCTGGCGGGAAAAGCCTACTACGATGGAGTGGCCAAGATCGGTGAGATTGCCAGCGGGTCCCCTGTGTCGACAGAGCTGGGTGAGCTGACCGTCCGTTACATATACACCCAACTTGAGTGCGGTTCCGGAGCCTTTGTCCTGCGAGCCCTGATGAGAACATACAAAGTGGCCTGGATCCAGAATGGAAAAGAGGGCTAGCCCAGCACTCGGGTTTGTTCACCTCTGCGGTGATTGACTCCTCCGTGGTCTGTCCAAAGTGGAGGCTTAGTTAAGGGCAGGCCACTAGGAACTGGGCTTCTGCCTCTGAGGTTTGGGCCCTAGTTCCCTGCTGATCCCTGAAGCGTGAAGCCGGGGGATCCTTGAGCCACATTTTTAACTGAAGGGGATGTGCACGCAGCCTCCGGCCTCTGGCCGAGCGTTTCCTGTGACTCACCTTGCAGAGAGTCCAGCCCCTTTACGTTCTGCTCTTGGCTGTCGCTGCTTCCACAGTTGCTCTCGGTTGTGATTTTTCCGGTTTTGCTGGTATGAATCGATCCCCTGTGCACACGCGGAGGGCGAGGGCAGCCGCACCCTCGGCAGCACCAAGGCTTCTATTTACAGAGCCGGTTCACTGTACCATCTCCGAAGCGGGGAAAGGTGGATTTTTTTTTTTTTAATAGTCCCACACATAACCATCATTTTAATAACTTGTTAAATATGTTTTACTTGACAGAGGGTGACATTTCAGAGTTTAAAATGTTTGTCAGAATTTGAAAGGTTCAGAAAACCAGAGGAAAGGATTGGTAAAGTGTGTGTTTAAAGAAATGTGTGTTCCTCTCCAATTAAAACGTAGAAAGGGAAGCAGAGGGGCAAAGGCGCATATGTTTAAGGTTCAAATAATTCACACCATTCGTATGTTAAGTGTCTTGAGGGTTTTCAGGATTGCTTGGGAAACTCCTAACTGACCCATAAAAGCCAAGGAACAAATTCAAGGTGTGATGATGGTTCTGGGGTTGGGGGCTGGGCTGCTGCGTCTGCAGTGGATCTGGGCGCTCGTTAACATTCTCTGACAGCTTTTGTACCGGAAGAGTTCATAGTCTTGAAACCTGTAGGCAAAAGCTAAGCCTGAAGTGATGCTGGGTGATGAATAAGTCAGTACTGCGATACTGAATAGAATCAGCTACGTGTAGAAAATTTCAAAGCCCTGACTTGTATTCTGTTGTTCTGGCAAGGTCTGAACTATAGTAACTCTGTCCAAAGTGGATCAGTTTAATAAAATACACACTGTGTTATGTAGACAGAAGCAGATAGTAAAATTTAGGACATTTGAGGGATGATTGGGGTGATTATAGGGTTCCAAAAATAGAACTAAATTAAAAAGAAACAGCCTATTTGTGTCAGGCATCAGGGGAAAAAGAAGTATGACCCTTATGTTAAAACATACGGCGCTTTGACACCGTCATTCAGTTTGCCTTTTTAATGTTTTATGATTCTTGCCACTGTTTAAATAAGACTTCTGTTCCACACCTTATTTGATTCAGCTGTGAGTTCATAATGTTGAATCAGCTGTTTCCACAGCAACCGTGTTGTTATAAACACGAGCTTAAAATTTCAGTTTCAATAAGGAAAATATGTTGCAATGGTGCAGTTTCTTTCATGTGTTTGTATTTCATTCAGAGGGAATGGAAATTACTTGCTGCCATTTTTGTTCCAAGTTGTCCTTTTGCTTATATTCACTCTATCATGCAGCTAATTTCCTACTCATTTGCAGCCATTCCATGATAAAGTGCAATCCTAGTAGGAGTTGCTTTTGGAGACCTAACATTTACTTCTTTTGATTTGCTTAGTTTTTTATTTTGTTGTTAAAGTTTAGACTAAAATACTACCCTATATCTGTTTAAATACCTGTATGGAAGAGCACTGGACAATTCATAGAAAAAAGAGAGACCTAAAGTTGATTGTACCTTTCTTGTTTTTCAAGAAGATTTTCTGATCTAGTTACTGACATTTTGGTATTGGTCTTCATACTTTATTATGAAACTTATGTTACAAATTCCATTTGTTAAAAACTGAAGGGGTATTACATACGTGAAGATTATGAATCATTTCAAAATTTTCATTCCTGAAGAGTATTATCTCTGAAAAGCCTTTCTTTTCCCACGCCCCACCCCCGCAAAAAAAATCCTGTAGTTATACAATTTTCCGTTTAAAATTTTTGCCTTGGGAGGAAAATACCCTCTGGCTAAAAATATTTACTTAATTCATAGAAATTTGTAGTGAGGATTCAACTTGGAAAACTTGGCCAAATACATTATTAATGTAAATCAGGGTGGCAAAGCTAAGCATTTCAGTCTCTTCTCACTTTAGAGGAAAGAAAAGGTGTGTGTGTGTGTGGGTGTTGATTAGCCTTTTACTTTTTGTCTTCTGGGTCGGCCTCTGTTAGTAGCACAGGGCTGCAGCAGTACCATTTCTGACTTTTAGCTATGGGTGTTTTCATTTTGATATCCCTCTTTCGGCATCAGCTCACCCAGTGCTGTGTGAATCATTTAAGATGCTCTTGCCCACGAGTAACAAAATACCCAACTAACAGTGGTGTAAGCAATAAGGATGTTTATTATCCCACATAAGAAGGCCAGGAACAGGGGGTTCTTGGTTAATCATTACTAAGAACTCTGGTTCTTTCTCTCTTTTTTCTCGTCCTAGAGCCCAGCTCCTCATGGTACCAAGGTGGCTGCCCTGCCATTGCTAGTCTCAGGCATCACACCCTCCCTCTTCCCACTATGTCCAGAAGCAGGAAGGAGCACGCTTTACAGAGGAGGAAACCTTTTCCCAGAAGCCCCAGCACACACCCTCTTGTTCTCTCTGGCCTGATTTGGATCACACGCCCATGACCCAGCAGCACTATTCCCAGGCATGGTTAGCCAAGGGATACATCGAGGGGGAGAGGGCACAGCTGTTAGGAGGACACCCGATGGTGCCACCAGTCAGCCAGCTCTGGTTATCAGAGGTCTTGTTTCAATGGCTTTCAGTGAAAGGAAAGGACTTAACACGCGTTACTGCTTTAGCTGTGCTGTGAGCTGCAAAGTGCTGCTGCGTTTTGCTTGTGTCTCTGACTGGGATAGTGTTTTTCTCCCACATGGGTTGTGTGGTTGTACTATCGTGTGTGTACTTCACACTCTATTTATGATTGTTTCTCCAGTAGACCACAGCCATCCTTCCCAGTCTATTCCTATTTGGGAAGTGGGACTCCCAAGCACAGAAGATGAATTAGGGATGTGGGGTAGTTTTTGTTTTTCTGTCCTTTTGCTCTTCTTCTCAAGCCTTTGGGTATCTTTTCATCACAGACTCTTGGGGCATCTTCCCTGCCTCCGCTTCTCTCTCCTTTCTTTCCTCCTCTCATCTTCCTCTCTGCTGACGTACCTGCACGGTCTCACAGCCTCTTTCATCACTGCCATATTTCTTTCCAGGCTTTTCTTCCGGTGAGTTTGTGCCTAAGAGCCAACATTGAGTGCTTGCTCTCCTCGGGCACAGGACCCAGTGCCTGACAGGGCCTTTAGTTCAGCGTCTCATTTAGTCCTCAGAGCCGTCCTGCACAGGTCTGGGTGCAGGCACTTCCACTGTCTCCATTTTCCACGTAAGACCCAGAGGTGAAGTGTGTGCCTGGGTCACACAGTTAGCAGGTGGTCCGACTTGAGGATCTGAGCTCTTCACCTCTGCACTTACTGCACTTCACTGAGGCGAAGGGAAAGGAAAGAGGCAGCCAATCACGGGTTGCTGAAGAGGAAGAAAACAGGAACCCCGCGACGGGGACCTTTTCAAGAAGGAAATGAGAGGGAATCGTTGGTGTCAGAGCAGCCAAAGACTGGGGAGGGGCTGGCAGGTGTGGTGATTGGAGCTCACTGGCCCTCTCAGAAATGGTGGCTTCACTAGGGTCCTGACCATAAACACCAGGTGTTACAGGGTTGAGGAAGACGGAACTAACAGAAGTTTTACTTACATATGTATGCCTTCTTACACGTATTGCTTGACTTTTGTACAGCTGTGCTTCACATAGAAACTCAGGTCTCACTAAGTGCGTGCTGTGTGCCGGGTCCTTCGTGTGTTGCCTCATCTCATCCTCAGGAGCCTCGTGGATAGATGTTTCCTCCGAGGTATGCAGGGTGGATGCTCGCCCCGCGTTTCCCTGGGGAGGCTGGTAGACCATAGGGTAAACTTGGCAGTCACAGCCTTCTGCATGGTGGTGAGATAACCTCCATGGGCAACCACACTGGGTCCTGTGTCCTTAGCCATGTGCTCTGCAGCCAAGCAAGGCAGAGCAAGGGATGTGGAGGTCGTGACCTCTGCGAGAGGATGGTAGGCGGCATTGGTGCTGCTTGGGAACGATCCTGTGACCCAGGACAGGGAGGCCAGGCCAGGTCTTATTTTCCCCTGCGACTGCCCAACACCTGAGAGATGCTCAGTAAAGCTTGTGTTGTTACAGTGCCGCTGTCAACTTACACCACCCTGGGCAACACGTCACCTTATGAGTGGTTGGCAGGACTAAGGGAGAGGACAGCAACACGTTCTGGGTTGTTTGAAGATGAAATGAGATAATGTGCCTTGTGTTTTCTAAAGTTTCACAGACCAGAAAGATGCCTCCCTGTTGCCGCTTCATATGTTCACAAGTATTTGAGAATTCAAAAATCAGTACCAATTTTTTTTCATTGACATTATTCTCTTCCATAAAGTAGGTGATACGTTTGTAAGAATATACATTTTTGCTTGATTATTCAAGAACAAATTATTTCAGTTCTCTCCATTGTATCTTCATTTTCTATTTCATTAATGTCTACTCTTACCCTTTTTTTCTTCCTTGTACTATCTTTGGGATTATTCTCCTGTTCTTTTTCTAATTTCTGAAATGATACATTTAACTCATTAATTTTAAATACAGGTAGGACCACAAAGATGACCATACAAGTTAAAACCATGTAAAGCCATCTTAATAATCAATGGGGAAATTATGATTGTCCTGTGACCTTTAAAAATGTTTGCCAGAAACATTAAAAACTCTCTCATTTTCAGTTATAAATGTGTAAGGAAATGGAAAAAATAAAATAT